CGTCGCGTCGTTCTTTCGCGAGAAGCAGTCATGGCCACGAGGAGCAGCCATGGCCAAGGGCTAAAGTTTTGCGGGTATACAAGACAGCAAATAGAGTTCTACGGGCCACAACGAGCTTCTACCACAATCCCAGCAAATAATATCATGACATAATATCGTGGCCACAATCTCAACAGCAATGAATGGCTATAGTATTCCTTTGATGGCCATTGAAGACAGCAAATAAGAAGAAATTCCATAGATAGCCGTGGAGTATAGAGACCAATTTTTTTTAATCCGAAAATAAAAACTTTAATTCTAGATCAAAAATTCATGCGCAAACTGTGGTCTGATACCACTGTTGGATTATTTAACGATCTAGACATGCAAGTTGAACTAGAAATTCAGATTAATGTTGCCGTTCACCTTCAAAAATAATGGAAGTCTTCTCTCTCCTCCCGTAGCCAACGATGGGAATTTGATCTCTTTCCTGCGTACGGTTGAGAGGAGGGACTCCCACCCTTAAATAGATATTTGTGATTAACCCACAGATCGATTCTATCCTTTAAATATTCAAAATAACCACCCAACTTGATAAACATGAATTGTCTAACCAGATCATATGATTAACATCCTGATCCTAACTTGAATCGATGGTAACTTTAAATCAAATCAAAAAACGAGTAGGTTAGGCCACATAGGCTCGTTGGATTAATCAAACCCAACAAGGTGCTCATTAGTGAATGAGTTCACTGAACGACTCATCAAGAATATCTAGTTAGTAATATACTTAACTGTCAAATAGAAGTTCTTTAGTGATATAGTATAAAGTAGTCTCTTGATCTGAGACATGGTGCAATATCTTATATGTCAGTATAATTATACTTAAACTTTTACCCAACCACAATTCTTACTGAGTTGTGCAAGATAAACTAAGTGTCAATTTGATCTTATAGGTTATGAGTTTAATATCAATAAACACTAATCAAGTTATTAGAGTTTGACAGTTCACCATATCCTAGGCTCGATAGTTTGACATGGTTTGACGAAAAGACCAGACTATATGATATTTATCACTGAGTGGTCCTGATAAAATTAGGTAAGTATCTTGCAGACCTTTATCATAACTCAGTGAGAACTGTGGTTAGGTAAAGGTCTAAGTATAACTATACTAACATATAAGATATTGCATCATGCCTCAGGTCAAGAGACTACTTTGTACTATATCACTAGAAAACTTCTATTTGACAGTTAAGTATATTACCAACTAGATGTTCTCGATGAGTCGTTCAGTGAACTACATTCACTAATGAGCATCTGTATACTGTATCTTGATGTCTTAGTATCAATGATCTAAAAGATGGATCACCATCCTTAAAAAATGACAAATAGAGTATACACTAGTCTTGTCAAATTGATGATGTCCTATCTCAACACTTCATTGACTAGGAACATTTTAGAATATACATTAGCGACTAATCAAATCTCTTCTTCATTATGATCACTATCGAAATTTCTGATAGTCTAGTATCATTCTAAGCATTTTATCTAGTATTTAAAAATATCAGATAAATACTGATCAAAATAACATACTATCATTTTGAACAAGGATGTTATATTCATATATGTCATGTTACAATATACAATTATTGTCTGCAGGGCACCTATATCTAACATATTTGACTTTCAATTTAAGGAAAAAACACAAGGTAGAGAGTTATATAGTTAGTGGATGTTTACTTGTCGATAAATTCCAATCACAGTTTGGTCTAATAGTGAAACAATGAAACTTTAGGGTATTAGCGCAATTTAGAGCATGTTTGGGATTATAATAAAAGTAGAATATAATCTAGAATGTTTGTAATTTTAGTCATTTTAAAAATAGTGTTTGGCAAATGATTGATTATAACCCATCATTGTTGTCAATATGACTAAAAAAGACATGGGGTTGGTGGTGAGTTATTAGATGAGACATTAAATTTTGTGAAATCGTAACGGGTATAATTATCTTTTACTTGGTCAAACCTCATGGCTTATAAGCCATCAAAAAATAAGCTAGGATACCCTACCTTATTTTTTGATGGCTTATAAGTCAAAATAAGCAACTTACCAAACATATCACAGTGGCTTATAAGCCACTTTGACCAATTGCCAAACATGCTCTTAGCCTATTATTTCTAAACAAGATGTCCCTACGATGTAAACTTAGTGTTGGGAAGCTTCAATTCAAAATTTATTATGTTGATATGAACTATACTTTTTGAATGCCTGAGAAAATTTCCTTTCCCTGTATATCAAAAGCTTCCACTATAATTCTTGCTTGTATCGAAAAGTTGAGCAGCAAAGATCCAGAAGAGTAACCTGTGTCCAAAATATACAGATCATTGAAATATAGTTCTTGATGAGTATCACTCGATTTTCCACAACCTCCAAATATGAAGAGTCTCTTGTCAACTAGCGTAGCACTGTGCCCTTCACGTGCATCAGGTCCCTCACCGCTCACAGCTGGTACTATCCATGTATTGCATGCTGTACACAGTGTCGGTGTTAGTGTTAGAGATCAGCCATAATCCTCGTTATGAATAAGAGATTCAAATAAATCGCTGAAAGTAAAGACAAGTGATAATCAGCTACAAACTCCAATAATCTGAGCTGAGTTTCCAAATAATAATGCACATCTTTCAACTTGTAAAATGGGCAATCCAACAAGAATAACATATTTGGATTCCAGTTTCTCTAGTATCTTCTACTATAATAAATAACAAGAAATTGCAGAAGGACAAAAAATATACAGAAGAAAAACATTACAAGTTGACATATTAGAGCTGGAAATTTGATCAAGTTATCTCCTGGGTTATATAAACTTACAAGTGTCCAGTACATGTAAATCCTTGAGAGGGGTAGTCCCATCAGTACCACCAAACACAAACAACCTATTTCCAACAGTTGTACAACTATGACTATCCCTGGGAGACGGTGGCGCGCCCTTCATTAATGGCTTGCTCCATGTCTTCTTAGCTGGAAAAGTATTCATTAGTCACAAACATTGGTTTGTAGCAAATAACAATAAAGGCATGAAAAAAGTTAAAAGAAAAGTATATGCTGCAGATCAAAGCCAATAAGAATAGGAAAGGGAAAACACTATTGTAGCTCAAAAAATGACAAAACCAAATAAATCAAACATATAATTGAAGCCAAATCAATGGCCTGTACATAAAATCAGTCACAAAGAAGTTATTGTTAACTGCCATAAAACAAAGCTTAGATGAACAATTAGATGTTAACGTAAAATAAAATTGTATGCTGTGCATGTGCTGCATGGAGAAAAGGCTGCAGTACTGACGCATAAATTGATAATTAATTAATAATGCCCTTGAATAAAGTCAAGTAAACAATGGCATGCTTTTAGCAATTCAATGCAACAAGGTCATGATATTAACTGCCACAAAATATGCAGGTGAAAGCTAAAATGTACAAAATAAAAAACAGTCACTGAAAAAACCTGATAAAACATGATACCGACAGGATATTAAGCTGAACACATAAATACGAACTAACAAATCAAAAGTCTATCTCCATACCATAGCTTAGGCAAGATTGTTTACAGGACCTATACAGGAACACAAGAAAGCGATCCAGATAATATCCATGAAGACAAGAATCATAGTCCACTGGATGTTTGTGTCAGCTACATAGACCTTTCAATTTGCCTCATAGCATTACCACCAAGAGGCTGACAGCTTGAGTTTTTTTCAAATAGGTACTTCCCGAACATGGAATGAGTTCTAACTGGCCTTGGTTCAACCTTCTTGAGCCCAAATTATGCTCATCTATTTATTGATAATCTAAACATTTCCGTTTTAACCCAATTTCATGTGGCTTCTAATATGCCGGTTGCTTCATATACATTTTAAGGTTCTAACTAACGAATTAAAAGTCTATCTCCATACCATAGCTTAGGCAAGATTGTTTACAGGACCTATCTAGGAACACAAGGAAGTGATCCAGTTAATATCCATGA